AAGAGGGTTTTGGTAAAATATCTTTGTGACAATGGAGAAGAGGGTGTTCTCAAAACATGTAAAATATCTTTGTTGCCTTACTCATAATTCTTTTCTCAAAACTGATTGAATGTAAATTGTATTTTCGAATTCTGTAATTGTGTATTTTTTATTTTCCATCAAAACTTAATTAAATATAAAAATAGCGTCAGAAAATTGTCGTTGGACATTAATATTTTTGTAGATAAAAATCAAGATATATTCAAAAACATTTATTCTTCAAAACAGATATATTTTTGAATTTTGAACTGCCAAAATCAATTATCTCCTCAGCATAATCGATTATGTCGGAGTAAAAATCATATTCTGAATTATGATAGTGAAAAATGTCATGTTATGAAATTTTATAACACTTGTGTTTTGGAGGCTTATGCATAATATTATTTCATCAACTTGTACCTCCATATCTAGTATTCTAAGACTCTATCTAGTCTTCAGGAATGATCTTGGGCTTGCTTGATGTTTGAATGTTGTTGACTTGAATCATCATCAAAATCATCTCTTAGGAATGTAGGGACATATTTCACATTACCATCAATCTCCCCATCATTGCTTTCAACCAGTACTTCGGGTACTTTGTACATGGTTTGAAGGAGAATATTCGAGGAAGGATCCGTTCACTGAGGGGCCTAGGACCCATATCCAGATCCAAAATGTTGAACGTGGCAAGAGCGATGGAAGCAGAGTTTCAAGGGATTCACCCAGGTTGGGGAACAATGACTCGCAAGGAGGTAGGGAATGAGCAATTTCACCCAAGCAGGCCAGATTTGGGTTTGCAAAACAAAGGAGTTAGAGGAATAGGTTGGGCCCAGTTTCATGGAGGAAGAGGGCAATTTAAAGGAGGAAATCTAATGAGAGGAGGGGGATTTGGGTGGGCTCAACAATTTAGGCCCAACAAGAATGTAGAAGGGGAAAGTGGATCTAGCCCTCGTAGTAGTGTACCACGGGGTGACAGAGGAGTCATACACTTATCTTTTCATGAGATCACAGAACGAAGAAGGAAGGGACTATGTTTCAAGTGTGGAGGTAAATTCCACCCAATGCATCAATGCCCAGATCACCAGTTGCGCGTGATGGTGTTAGACAATGAGGAAGAGATAGATGATGAGTCCACCCAAAACACCTTCGAAGTTGAAGAAGAGGAGAGGGTTGATGGAGAGTGTAGTGTGATTGATTTGGGAAGTTTGGAAACTAAGGAAGGCCAGCAGTTCCAAACTTTGAAACTGAGAGCAACCATTCAAGGAGTCCCAGTGTTAGTATTGGTGGACAGTGGAGCCACACATAATTTCATATCGAGGAAATTAACTCAAGCAATGGGGTGGAAGATTATTGACACAAGGGGGATGAGTATAAAGTTGGGAGATGGGAGCAAAATGGTAGCTAAGGGAAAATGCGAGGCTGTGGGAATGGATTTAGGAGGGCTCAAAGTAACTATCGATGCCCACTTGTTTGAGTTGGGGGATATTAATGTGGTTTTGGGCATGTGTTGGTTGTCTACCATGGGAGAGATGGTTGTTGATTGGGGTAAGAAAACCATGAGGGTAGTGAGAAACAAAGTTTGGGTGGATTTGAAGGGACAGGACCAAGAGTCCCAAACCGCGTTTCAGAGCCATTTTATTGGGAGGCATACATGGATGGGGGGCATGTTGATGTCCACGGATCTAAAGTTTGCTTCTGGAAATGTCATTGAAAATGCTAATTTGTTTCTGACTCCTCAGTGGAGAGAGAAATTGGAGTTAGTGTTGTTGAAGTATGAAGCGGTATTCGAAGAACCACAAGGAGTGCCCCCAACTAGGAGTAAAGAGCATATGATAGTGTTACGTGAAGGAGAGAGACCAGTTAACATGCGTCCGTACAGATATCCACATCATCACAAGGATGAGATAGAGAAATAGGTCAAAGAAATGTTGAGCATGGGTATTATCAGACCAAGTCAGAGCCTGTTTTCGAGCCCGGTAATTCTGGTTAAAAAGAAAGACGCTACTTGGAGGATGTGTGTTGACTACCGTGCTTTGAATAAGGTCACGGTCCCTGACAAGTTTCCAATACCGGTGATAGATGAGTTGCTTGATAAGGTTCATGGGGCAGTTTTCTTCTCTAAGCTGGACTTAAAATTCTGGTACCACCAAGTACGTATGAGGGAGGAGGATGTGCACAAAATGGCGTTTAGGAACCATGAGGGCCATTACGAGTACCCAGTTATGCCCTTCGGGCTTATGAAGGCTCCTTCCACATTCCAATCCTTGATGAATGATGTTTTCCATGACATGTTGAGAAAAGGGGTGCTGTTTTTCGATGACATTTTGATCTATAGTGGGAGTTGGGAAGAGCATCTAAAACAGCTTAACCATGTACTACAGAGGCTGCAACAACATCAATTGGTGACCAACAAGAAGAAGTGCCAGTTTGCTCAGAAATCCATTGAGTATTTGGGTCATGTGGTCTCAGCCCAGGGTGTGGCGATGGATCCAAGGAAGGTGGAGAGTGTCAAACAGTGGCCCATTCAAAAAAATGTCAAAGGAGTGCATGGTTTTTTGGGGCTAACGGGTTATTATCAGAAATTCATACGGGACTATGGAAAGATCACAAAGCTCTAACTGAGTTGACTAAAAAAGATGGGTTTCAATGGAATTCTCATGCTCAAAATGCATTTTTTATCAGCTAAAGACAAAGATGACGGAAGCCTCGATGTTGGCCTTACCTGACTTCACTCAACAGTTTATGATTGAATGTGATGCCTCCAATGGAGGGGTTGGGGCAATACTCACACAGATGGGCATACCATTAGCTTATTTTAGTAAGGCCATAAGTGAATGCAATCTGTCCAACTCAGCTTATGAAAAAGAATTAATGGCGGTAGTGTTGGCAATCCAACATTGGAGACCCTATTTGTTGGGTAGAAAGTTCACGGTGAGCACTGATCAGAAAAGCCTCAAGCAACTCATGCAACAAAGCATTTCTACCATGGACCAATAGAATTGGATGGCCAAGTTATTGGGCTATCAATTCGACATTGTATATAAACGGGGTGCTAGTAACAGAGGTGCATATGCTTTGTCCCAAATGCATGAGGTCGAAGGGTCTTTCTACTCCCTGATATAATATCTGTTTTGGGAGGACAGTCAAGAAATCATTGAGAAGGTGCATCGAGACCCCAAGTTGAAGGTTATCATTGAAGGGTTGGCTCAAAATAACGCTCCTAAATCAGGTTTCTCTTATATCAGGGGAGTTTTGTATTATAAAGGAAGGTTGGTGATATTAGCAAATTCTAACTAGATACCTAAATTGTTGCAAGAATACCATGCCACTGCAGATGGGGAACATTCAGGTTTTTACGGGAGATATAGATGCCTTGCAGCCAACCTGTATTAGATTGGGATGACAAAGAAGATTCAAGAATATGTCCAGCATTGTGATATTTGCCAAAGACAAAAATATTTGGCTACTTCCCCTGGTGGCCTTTTGCAGCCTCTGCCAATTCCCCAGCAAATTTGGGATGAGGTTTCCATGGACTTTATAACAGGTCTTCCTAAAGTTCGTGGGTATGAGGCAATATTAGTGGCAGTAGATAGGTTGTCAAAATATGGTCAGTTCATTCTTCTTAAACATCCTTATACAGCAAAGACGATGGCTGAGATTTTTGTCAAGGAGGTGATTCAGTTACATGGCATTCCCAAGGCCATTATCAGTGATAGAGATCCTATTTTTGTCAGTATTTTTTGGAAGGAGATCTTCAAGTTGCAGGGCACTCAGCTGAAGATGAATACCGCATACCATCCCCAAACGGATGGACAAACGGAGATAGTCAACTGTTTCCTAGAAACCTATCTACGTTGTTTCATCGCTGACCAACCAAAAACGTGGGTAAATTGGGTGCATTGGGTAGAATATTGGTACAACACCACATTCCATCAATCAACCGAAACTATCCCGTTTGAGGCGGTGTATGGCCGTAAACCACCAGCATTGGTGAGATTTCTACAAGGGGAAACGTTGGTGGAAGTTGTGCAGCAAGAATTGGTAGACAAAGACGAGGTTTTACGACAACTAAAACATCATTTGACTCATGCTCAAAATCGTATGAAGGGACAAGTTGATGCACATCAACAAGAGCGCAATTTTGCTAATGGGGAGTGGGTTTTTCTGAAGTTGCGCCCCCATAGGCAAGGCTCGGTAGCCACCAGAATCAGTCCCAAGTTAGCGGCAAGGTATTTTGGTCCTTGTGAAGTGCTTGGGTGTGTAGGTGCAGTGGCTTACAAGCTCAAACTTCCACCGACTTTGAAGATTCATCTCGTGTTTCATGTCTCATTACTCAAGAAGGCAGTGGGTAAGTACGCAGTGGAGGCTGAACTACCTGAGAACATTGAAGGAGAGGAGAGCATAGAGGTGGAACCCAATGCTATTTTAGCGGTCAGGCGGGTGCGAAAGGGAGGGGAGGATGTTGATCAGCTGTTGGTTCAGTGGAAGGGCCAAGGGACAGAGAGTGTCATGTGGGGAGACAAACTAGCCATCCAAAGTCAATTTCCAGAAGTCAGTCTTGAGGACAAGACTGTTGTTTTAGGAGGAGGCAATGATAGGGGTCTAGTGATAGATCAGCTAAGTCATGGACCCAACGTGTGGTATGTGTACTCTAGAAAGAGTAAAAAAGGAATGTGATTCTTTTTGCTGACAAGGAGGAAAGAGAAATTATTAGAAGAGTAAGTTTATAAGGAGGGATGAGGGGAATTTAGTTATTTAGGGATGAGTGACATGTAGTGAGAGGAGGGAGGAGGAATGAGTGAGAAATCAGTGGGTAGGGAATATTTATTCTCTATTAGAATTCTCTATTAGAGCATAGCTCTGTGGGTAGCAGTGAAAGACAATTTTTCCTACTGCATTTCTATTCTTCTCTTTTACCTTTTTTTTTTGCACTTTTTCTTACAATTAATTCCTAAATCTTTTATATTAAGAACTTGATCATCTTAGTTTATAACAAACACAATGCGCATCTCACCCATAATCTTACAAACAGGGTTATGAATAACACACGGGACTTTATCATACTCAAATATTTCAACATTGATACTCATCCTAGAAAAAGGGTTATGATTGGAAACTTATATTAGGTGACAATTTTATATGCTATCAATAAGTTTGACATTGTTCTGTGGGTAGCAGTGAAAGACAATTTTTCCTACTGCATTTCTATTCTTCTCTTTTACCTTTTTTTTTTTTGCACTTTTTCTTACAATTAATTCCTAAATCTTTTATATTAAGAAGTTGATCATCTTAGTTTATAACAAACACAATGCGCATCTCACCCATAATCTTACAAACAGGGTTATGAATAACACACCGGGACTTTATCATACTCAATATCTCACCCATAATCTTACAAACAGGGTTATGAATAACACACCGGGACTTTATCATACTCAAATATTTCAACATTGATACTCATCCTAGAAAAAGGGTTATGATTGGAAACTTATATTAGGTGACAATTTTATATGCTATCAATAAGTTTGACATTGTTCTTTGGCCTTAGAGAAACCATTGGAATCGTTGCATGATATGTCTAAAACAATTAACTCTTATATTTTGCATATCTCTGGAGAAAGTAATAAATGTGCAGACAAACTTGCCAATATTGGAATTGATATTAGCTTAGACTTAGTACAATAATCTAATTGACAACATTAGTATGGATTTTTTTTTTTTTATGTTTGATTTATCTAAGTTTAGATTTAGTTCTTTTCTTTATAACATTATACTATATTTCTTATAAAAAAATTATAAAAGTTTTTTTCATATAATTACTCTAACTTCTTATTTATTAAACTAGTACATGGGCTAATTTTAACAAATGAAAACACTCATTCCATTTTTTTTCTTTACTTATAAAGAAACTTCACACCAATTTATAGTGAAAAAAATTAAATATACTTCTATATAAACTAAAAACCATTGTTGAGAAGTTAACCATGAGATAATTCTTACAAATTAACTTATATATATAGATTAATTTTAATTTATGAAAAATAATATTTCATTTATTATTTTCTTTTTTCACAATCATTTATAAAAAAATTATCTAAACAGATCCATTGAACTTAACAAAATTAACCATGTGCTTAGTCTAAATGCAAAGACATTTAGAACAACAACTACAGATACAATTTTATTTGGTCCACTCGATATCAGTCATATGGTTGAAATATTGTCTTCTTGTTACTTTATTCCAATCCCCCATCTGCCATAATGTGTTCAGATGCACATTGAATTTCAAATTAATTAACATAAGCCAACCTATTCATGTTTCTTCCCTTTTCCCTTGGGGATTTTGCTGAGCACACTAGCATCAAGATTTCGGTAGTGATGTTGCATCTGACCAAAAGCCTTGTAAACAAAGTTGTCAACTTCATCTTCATACTTTTCATAGAAAACTGGAAGTGTATGTGCAGCAACAAAACCTTAGAGCAAAAAAATTAGATCAGAAATCAAGTATATCATGAACACCTAACTAAGTGGAGAAACATCATTAGTGCTTTTAAGAGGTGTCATGTGATGTGAATGATAGGTATAACTAGACCCCAAAAACAATATACATGAACTTTGGCCAGTGTTTGTTTGTAAACAAGATTCAGTTTTTGTCTTGAAATGGTATATAATCAGAAACTCCAATCCTGCATCTTACCTCATTTATATCTGAGTCTGTTCACAATCACACACAGTGGTGACGTTGATTCATCTCACTGTTTATGCTAGCCCCTTCAATTTTCTCTACTTTGGATCATGAAGTTTAGGCTATCTTTTAAATTTATCCAATTTCAACTGTTTATGTTATGTGGAGAAAAGATTTTATAGGGTTAGTTGAAGGGTAAACAGTCCCTTCAGTTCTTGAAAATACAGTTTATTCTCACTTAAGTCTCTGAAATGTTAAAATTCAAAAAAAAAGTCCTTGAAGGTGTAATTTGCCTATCACTTTAGCCCTGTTGTTATAGAACCTTTACATGACACAGTCATTTTGATCCAGAGTTTACCACTTATTGTTATTTTAGTAGGATCTGATCAAAATGTCGAAAGAACTTTCTGGAACTGAAATGATGGGAAGTGGTTAACTTCAAGGACTAAAATGATAATAAATTGATAACTTCAAAGACTAATGACAATAGATGGTCAGGGACCAAATAATATTAAGTATGCTATTTATGGGGCTTTCTAACCACACAAAACGAAGATTACAGAAAAATTACATTTTCAAAATCTTTTTTGAATTTTAATACTTGCTTGGTGAAACATAAAAGTATAATAGCATAAACAAAAAGAACATTTTACTATATTTCAAACACTCTCACTACTATTATGACTGAAATTAATTGAAAATCACACATTTTAGTAGGTTGTACTTTCAAATCAGGATAAAATTATTAAATGAGAAGTGAGTCATCAAAATTTGTAATTTTCAATAAATTTCAACTAATAGTAGAGAGTGTGTTATAAATGTGTTAGAAAGAGTGCCCTTAACATTTCTCAGAAGGAAAATGTGGGACAATGTATGAATCAAAGGAATAGTGAATCTATCCAAAGAAGACAAGTTAGGTTTCTCACCAATATAGATGACAGATATGAAATTGCACCAGCTCCCAATCACAGCACCAGCAAACAAACCTCCTACAACCTGGGGAAGTTTTGACCATTGATCACAAATTTCATGGAAAAATACATGTAACTTTTTCTTTACTACATGTAGAAATAACTTCAGTTTTTAGGTATGTAAATGGTTAAAAACAACCTCCAGACGGTAGAGATGCCCTATTATGGTTGTGCATTCAAGATACTTAACCATTTATATGCTTATTTTGATATATAAATATGATCCCCCAAATCAAGAAAAGGCAACAAATCTATTCATTTATTTGCCAAAGTTCCAGCCCCTCCCTCCCCAAAAAAAGAAAAAAACAAAACCCCCCTTCACAGTCCCTTCTATTTGGTTCCATGTTGTGCAAAAAGTAATTCTAGGAATTGGATAACTCGAAGAACTACAATGGGTTTCCGAGAATGTTATTGAGAAGAGATTTACAAGGTAGGTCAAGTTTGACGACCTGGCCTTTTTATAGCTAACTACCCAACTATCCGCTTACCAGCTGTTGCTGTTTTTATTCTAACTGTTAGATATGATTAGATATTAGTTGATATTGTTGAGATATTGTTAGATATTGTTAATCACAATATCAAATAATATCTTTTTATTTACTCTATTTGTATTCTGTTACTCTTTTGAGGAGTACCTTTCTTTATTATAAATACACTTCCCTATGTGTGGTAAATACATAAGGGAAATTAACCCTATACAGTTTTTTCCTATATTCAACATGGTATCAGAGCTTAAGGTCTCTTGGGATTTTTTTTCGGCTCTGCCACTAAACCTGCAGCTGTCGCCGCCTCCATCGCCGCCGAGCACAGGGTTTTGCTCGCCTCCTCCGTGCGACCTCCACCGTGGAAGTTTCGCGGTCATCGGAGCAGCCACGCTCCCTCACGCGCCTCCCGAAGCCGCGCCACCTTCTCCCGTTCTGCCGCGCGTGGCGGCGCGTCTCGCCGCCGTTCAGGCTGCCGATCTTTGCGCCGGCGTCGCCTCCTTCTCCTCTCTCCGGATCTGTCCTCGCTGCTCCAATCGGACCTCTTTGGTGTTTTAGGGTTTTTCTCTCTCTTCCTCCATGGCATCTTCAGCTGCCACTTCCAGTCTCGAAGTTACCTCCGTCGACTCCGGTGGGTCCGAGCAATCTGTTTTTACTAATTATGTCAATGTGAATTTACCCATTGATAAATTCGATGGTACGAATTATGCAACTTGGGCATCCGATATTAGACTTTGGCTTGAGAGTCGGGGTATGTTGATCATCTTACTACCAAGGTAGATGATGTTCCTTCCAATGATCGTGTCCAGTTGGAAGAAAGTTGATGCTCATATATGTATGGTTCTCAAGAATACCATCCAATCTTCTTTAAAACAAATTTTTCGATCGTATGGCACATGTTATGACGTTTGGGAACAAGCCAAATTATTATACACCAATGACACTCAACGTCTTTATGGTGTTTGTTACAATCTTCTTGATGTTATTGCTCCTCGAGATAAGGATCCTGTGACGGATTATGTGGGTAAGATCCATGCTCTTCTCCATGAATTTAATGAGTTATTACCCCCTGCCTCGACTCCTGCCCAAGAATTAGAGCAACGATCAAAGTGTTTCATGGTTTTGATGTTACACGGACTTGCTGATAAATATGCCCCTGTTTGTGACCGGATTTTGGGTTCCCCTGTTACACCCGGTTTACCGCTACCAGTTCCTCCCTTTTGCGGGTGCCATGTAAACCTCTCAATATTCCCCTGTAGTTTCTAATGATTCATCCGCCTTGGCCTCTCACCGTGATGATCGTAATCGCTCTCACAAGCCGGGCAAAGGGCGTGTCAAGTGTGACCATTGTGGCAAACTAGGCCACAAAATTGACAAATGTTATGCTTTACATGGTTATCCTCGCCGATCTGCTGCAGTTGCTCGGGCCGATTCTTCCGCACAATCCTCTGCTTGTGGATCCTCCTTCGTCCGTACCTTCGGACAAATCTGCTATCTTCAATGATTTTCTTCAATGGTATGAGGATCGAAAGCCCTCCGGTTCCACTACTTCGTTGCCCACACAGGTACATCTTTTGTCTGGTCCGACTCACTCTTCTTCTATTGGCCCTTGGGTTCTTGACTCGAGCGCCACCGATCACATCACTCGGTAACAAATCCTTATTTTCCTCTTTCACTTCTTCTCATAATTTACCCTCTCGTTACAATGGCTAATGGGTCTACAACTTTAGCTCATGGTGTTGGAACGGTTACTATTTTTCCCTCGTTGTCCATTGATAATGTTTTGTATGTACCGGGTCCCCCTTTAACTTATTATCCATTAGCCATCTAACTCGATCTCTTGATTGTGTTATCTCTTTTACCAAAACTTCGTTTCCCTACGTAACCGGAGCTCGCAAAGAGTGATTGGCACCGGATGTGAGTCACATGGACTTTATAATCTTCAACCTTCTCCACATGTTGGCACGGTTATGGAGTCTCCTTCTCTCCTTCATGCTCGGCTTGGTCACCCCGGTCTGCGCAAATTACGAGCAACTTGTTCCCAGCTTATCCCAGCTTGTCCAATTTGGTGTGTGAGTCCTGTCGGTTAGGCAAACATAGTCGTACTTCCTTTCCTCGTAGTGTTTCCCAGCGTGCTTCATCCCCCTTTGCCTTAGTTCACTCGACATTTGGGGACCCAGTCGTGTTAAGTCTAATTTAGGTTTTCAATATTTTGTTACTTTTATTGATGATTTCTCTCGTTGTACTTGGTTATTTTTAATGAAAAATCGTTCGAGTTGTTTTCTATATTCCAAAACTTTTATCATGAAATTA